ATCAGATTTTGCTTAAAGATCAAAACAAAACTCGAACAAACTTAAACCAGTTTTATATCACAATAATGATCACACAAACAACAACAACTAACACATCACCAACAACTATAACAACAAACAACGTCACGTATACTCTATTATCTATGGTAACCGACGAGCTGGAAAGATGAGACAACAAGCCTGTCCAGGGGCTTCTGAGAGGAAATAGTAGTTTTCTATCTATAGATTATAGTTTACTTAATGTAGTTCTAGCTATAGTTATTTTCATTTTTTATTTTAATTTTTTATATTTAAAAAATCAAAAGAATTCGTAAAATTTCCTGAGTAGATAAGCATAGCTGCTATTCAGGTATAGCTAGTATATAGTATTGTTTTGAATTTCTTTTTCAATATTAGTTAGATGTGTTTGTGTAGGCAGGCTAGCATTTAACTTGCTACATATGGAGGTCCGTTAAAGCGGAGTAGTGCTCAGCCACAATTGTGTTACTCATGTATGTAGATTATAAATTACTGATATTTATTTTAAAATTTATTATCTATTTACATCCACCACTATCACATCTTTATTACTATCAATATTTCAATGAATATGATTTATCTTTCCCCAGATGAAAAAAGAACTCTTCTTTTTAACATAAAAAATACTTTTGAAGTTTCAATTGAAGAATTCGATAATGATTAGTGGCCCTTGATCTCAAATATATGGACTCAATATAATGCCTGTAAACTTATCAATGGTAATTCTTGGAAAGTTTTTGCTTGTCATCTAACGAAACATCAAGACTCAAATACGCGACAAGAGGGAATTTCAATTGAAAAGCGCAGAAAGACAACTATTCGACCACATGGACTTTGCCATGCAAAAATTAAGATTTCACGATTGTTTTCTTCAAAAATGGTTAAGATTGAGCGCTATAATAATTCTCCAGATCACGCACACACTATAAAAGAAAATGATATGATCAAATGTTCAGAAGCTGTCCATACTCTGGTTAAACAGAAAGTAATGAAAAACTATCCATCTACAGCAATCATAAATGCCATCAAAGAATATGCAACCAATGAGTTAGATCTGGGCAATAGTGTTCAAGATTTAAAATGAAGAGAAGTCGCAAATATCAAATATAAACTTCGTGGATCCATGGAGGCACAACTTGTTGGCAATATCAATTTAAATGCAGATATTTTGGAAGCGATCTCTTTTTTAAGTGAACAAGAATATTATGTCGAACATTATATCACCAAAAAATCTACTGAAGGCATTGTTTTCGCACTTCCTAGGCAATTAGAAAAGCTTCAACATTATGGATGGTTAACTTTAATTGACTCCACCCATAAAACGAATAAACATAATTGGTACCTCTTTACCTTATATGTTCGTGATCAATATGAATGTTGGAATGTTGGTTCCCACTTTTTTGTGAGTAATGAAGACAGTGAGACTATTATTGGAGCATTGAAAATAATTCGAAAAAAATGTTTTCGTTGGCTACCTCGATACGTTCTTATGGATCAAAGTGCTACCGAAGCTAATAGTATTAAACAAGTATTTCCTGGTCTTTGTGGTGGCGAGCAAGAATGTAATATAATTTTTTGTACCGTTCATATTATGCAAACATGGATGACAAAAATCTATGATGTAAAAGCTCAGGAAACTATGATATTGGCTATGCATAAAAAAACGAAAATCGGTTGTGAAAAACTTATTCAAGAAGCTATCCATCTTTGTTCAGTTTCCACTGTCTGCCGTTATATCAAAAAAAATTATGCTCATAATAGTTATCAATGGGCTCTCTGGTCTCGGCAACACTCCCCTTTACTTCTACAGGTTACTTCCACTAATGCGCTTGAATCCTATCATAGTGAGTTGAAACGAATGACATCTCACTTATATGGATTGATTGGTAAGTTAAAGGTTTCGATTAATATTTTCTAGTTATAATTCTTATTAATTAGTTTTTTGTTTCTAGGTGCTTCCCATAAAATCGTTGCTCTTGATCATAAAAGGCAAGCCGATTTAGAAAGTGTTGCTTACAACTTCAATACCAAAAAAATATTTGCTTATGGTATTGAAAACGAAATAATTGAGGAAATCCACAAATTTCCATTTCCTATACAACAGATGTTAATTAAAGAGGCTTGTGCGGTAATGGATAGGCTTTCAAAAAGTAAAAATGCACCAGGACTTCTCTCACTCAATTGTGATTATTTGTTTCGAAATTGTTATATGCTACCATGTAAGCATATCTTTCATAAGCATATATTCGGCACCACTAAGCTTTTGGATACTGATACTTGGAGGATGTTTCAAGAATTATTCGATGAAAGTGGCTTTGAAGTATATCAACATCATGAACTAGTAACAATAGAGGCGCCTAAACTAACTATGGAAGAAAGAAAGGCAGAAAATTGGCGACTTGCATTAAGTGAATTAACTGAAAGATTGCGCAATAGATATTGGGAAGCTGAGGAGAGAAACGCTGAGCAAGCTGAGATGTTTATTTCTAAGCTAAAGGATTCTTTAAATCCAATTATTAATGAACATAATACACTTTAATTTTTAATTTTATTATGCTTTATTTTATCATATTACATTAATTAAATTGATTTCTGTTTTAATATTTCTTAAAAATAATTAAAAAAATAATAAAGACTTATTAAATAATAAATAATCCACATTATTTCTTGTGTATATAAAATCTTTACATGAAACTAATTTTTACCAAGAAAAATTAGAAATTATCATCATTTGCTTTATCGACATGTAAAAGATAAAATACAAAGTTTTGGGATGTAGCCCTTGATGCATATAAAATCAACCCCATCTATTCTAGCCTAATGCTTGGTTTCATCCTTTGAGATCGAGATCTTTGCTGAGTACCCCTTAGCGGTTTCCTTCCCATTGCTACTAACGGTGTTCGTCTCCTCTTCAGGTGCAGGCATCTCATCATACTCCTCCTCATACTTACGATAACTCAGATCTTCTCTTTCGGTCGACACCACTTTCGGTTTCTTCGCAGCGGAGGCGGCATATTGGTAATATACTTCATTCATTTCTTGTATTTGCTTTTTTAATTCTCGAACGCGATCTTTTAACTCTCTTTTAGCCTTCATCGCTCTCTCTTTCTCAATTCTCCTTGCTGCCTTGGTTGCCTTCCTCTCTGCATCGGCTTCGGCATCTATTGCCACTCTGATTGCCTCCCCTGGGTCGGTCGCGTTTGCAACGGGGGTAGAGACAATATATCCTTCCGTAATCCAGTTGCAAGCAGCCATGCCGCCGGTTTCTTATGGTAGTTGCCCTTGGGATACACCTTCTCGAGTAGCCTCGCAAACCTACGGGCATACTCTATCACCTTTTCGCCCTTTTCTTGCTTTATATCTTCTAATTCTTTTTGCCATTAGTGCCATTGCTCGAGCATCACGAAGTGCTGCACAAATGTTGGTGCGAACGTTTCCATAAAATTACTTATTGATTTATGCGATCTCGGAAGTATCGAACATTATAATACCAGAACAATTGTTTTCCCGATAACTATTAAGAGATAAAATCCGCCAACTACGAACCGGAAAATGGAATTCCTTTGTTGACCTTTCAGAAGAAAGCAAAGCACAACTGTTAGACTGGATGAAATATTTAAGAAGCTGAAATGGAAAGGCCCTGATAAAAGGACGGTTATTTATACAGATACCTTGAGGGTAAGATGGGATGCGACAATGAACAACATCACAATCACAGGTACCTGGTCCATATGAGAAAGGAGGTGTCACATCAATTTTCTGGAGATAACAATGATAAAGAAGATTCTGACAAAATGGACCTTCATTCGGAATTAATCGATCCTTTTTTTTTTTTTTCAGATCCGACTCCATGACGACAGTAATCAGGGCGGAACAATATCAGAAATGTCCATTCGCTGAATGGCTTCAATGAAGTTTTAATTATTAAAACCTAAGATCATTTTTCGTTGCTAGTGGTTATAACATATCATAGAAAGAATTGTTATCTCTTTTTATCCATTAAGTTAAACAATATTACCAGATTTTCGAGTACTAGTGTCTTGTACATCATAGGTAAGAGGTTTTTGAGTTTTTTAAAAGTTGTAGTCCGATATTTACTGTTTACTTGTTTATTTCAGACTCATAATATCGAATTTTATAAAGAAATAGTCAGATTAGTAAAAATCCTATAAAGTCTCTTAACTCTTCCCATTATTTTATATGTATCATACTTGTTAAGTAATGCCTACAACGAAGTGAGTTTTTCCCTTAATTCCAATGCCTCACAGCTAAAAGTATCTGTGGAAACTAGTAGAGAAACAATAATGTGGATGCGTTCCTCAAAGGTAGAAAAATATTTCAAAATCTTTTTCGTCACTAGGAGTTTGACTTGATCCTAAATGTTGTTTAGCTAATTATTGTGATCGTCGGGAATTTCCACTTGATGTTTTTTGTGATTACATGCTCAAACTGAGGGCGAAGTTTTGTCTTAATAAGTTTTTGAGATCATTTACAGTCTTCACTATCAATGTCAACCGAAAAAGCAGAAAGTATGCCTAGTACTTTACTTTTACTTGACGAGTGCCACAATATATTTCAACTAATGAATAAATATGTGGCACAATTTGTGGCTGAGCACTATTCCGCTTTAACGGACCCCTACATATGTACATAAGAGATGTTGTTTCTTTCACAATGTATACCATGTTATATACAATATCAAATAAAGAAATGATACTTACCTATGAGGGGAAACCTCCCTCCAAAAAAAAAATTATGTAATAATACTGTTATTTAATTTTCAGATTTTAAATTTTCATCAAACATAATATTATTTAATAAATAAGTATTTATTTTAAAGCTTGAGTCATAGGCTTTCATATAAAAAAAATTTGTTAATATTTGATAATTAGTTATCGAGATAATTATGTAATAATATTGTCATTTGATTTTTGAATTTTAAATTTAAAAGTTTTAATATTGATATCTTCATTAATACGTAAAAGTTTTTAATAAATGAGTATTTATTTTAAAGCTTATGTTATAAACTTTCACATAAATATTTTTTGTTAATATTGAATAATTAGTTATTAAGATAATTATGTAATAATATTGTCATTTGATTTTCGAATTTAAAATTTTTAAATTTTCAATCTAAAAGTTTTAATATTAATATCTTCATCAATACATAATTTTATTTAATAAATGAGTATTAATTTTGAAGCTTAAGTCATGTACTTGCATATAAAAAAAATTTTATTAATATTAAACAATTAATTATTGAGATACAGTACTGGTCATAAGTAATCTATATGGCCTAATTTGATAAAATAGTTTTCCTAATTTGGTGAAACTTTTTTGATAAGTAGCATAGCATAAATCTGGATTGTCATGTAAATTTTGTAGCTATACAATGTTTATAGCACAAGCATTACCAGTGTACGATCTTCTTAAAAAATGATTCTTATACTTTATAAATGGTATGAAATTGCTTTTTTTTATTACCATCGCAAGGGTCCTAAGCTTAGTTATAAAGATATAGCAAAGTTATTGGGCTGTTTTATAAATATAATAAGTTTTTGGACAAATGTATGGTTGTAAATCAAGGATCTAAATAGTGAGCCAAAAACAGGATAAAAACAAAGCACAACTGCTAAGGAGAATGAAAAAATTATAAAGCTTGCAAAAAATGACAATAATGTTACAAGTTTTACAATTCAGGAAAAAATGAGTAGGGAGGAAGTTAATATTAGTGCACGAACCATTAGATGTTATCTTAGATAGGCTGGAGGAAAATATAACTACCCAATTTGCAAACCATTGCTTTTGGACAATCATATAGTATAGATTTTGACTGAAAAAATACTATTTTTACAAACAAATTAATCTTTGTTCTATATCTATTACCAAAAAAAATATAAAATTTTTCTGGAAAAAAAAATCTTTAAAACTGTGAAACATTTGATTAAGCTCAACATATGGGATTGTTTTTCAGCTTCAGGTTTTGAAAGGTTAATTTGTTTCAAAAGAAATCTCAATAGGACATATATATGTGATATATACAAGAGATGTCTTTTATCTTCTGCTGAGAAACTTTTTGGACAAGACAACTTAGACTGAATTTTGGTGGAGAATAACGATCCTAAACATATGTCAAAAATTGCTCAAAGGTGAAAGGCTGAAAACAACATTATGAATCTTTCCTGGCTGGCAATGTTACCTGATCAAAATCCTATTGAAAATATTTGACAGATTATAAAAATGAAATTATGTAAAAAAAAATTTTTTTCATTATACAGTTTAATAACGAAATTACATCAAAAATGGTATGATCTTTTAAATAAACTTGCTTACAATTTAGTTACAAGTATGAAGTGACATGTTTTGTTCTTAATTGAAGCAAAGGGGAATTATACTATGTAATGATGATTACAGTTGTATGTAATCTTTATAAAAAAAAATAAATAAAGTGATATATTATTTTTAAATAATATAGGATTGTATGTGTTACTTATAACCAGTACTGTAATTATATAATAATATTGTCATTGGATTTTTTGAATTTCAAAATCTATAAATACTTCTTATTTTCATTTTAGTATTTTAATTTCACCACGCTTTTCTTAAATCTTAGAAAAAAACTTTCTTCTTTATTAAATTCTTATAAACCTTGTTCTTTATCTTTTAATTCTTATTCCTTATTACAAAAAAATCTTATTGTATCAATTTTGCATAGTACTACTTTACAATTATCTGGTAATCAACCAGAACATTTACTGTATATGATTATTTTTTAAATAATTCATATATTGGAAAATCATATTTCTCCAATTTACAAAGTAATTCAAAAATCACACAAGTTTTAAATAACATTAAAACTATACATAACTCTATTTCTATAAAATATAAATCTAGTATTTTATCTTTAATTGCTGGTTTATATAGTAGATCTGAATTAAAAAATATTGGTTTTAATTTTAGTAATAAACAATTTTCTACTGCTTTGAAAAAATCCAATAATCAATTATTTAATATATTTGATTATCAAAGACATATTCCATCTTCTAAATCCAAAATTAATAAAGAAACTTTTGAATTTATTTTAAAGTTTCTTTTACAAAATTCTTACTTATCAACATCTACATGTTCTCCTGTTAAACTTTTATATTCTTTGGAAGATCTTACTATTAATTATAATTTTTCAATAATTTATTATTTAAAAAAACCTAAAAAAACCATCTATTTTGAATTAAAAAATCAATATTCAAACTTAAAATTAAATTTAAATAAATTTTATAAACTTTGTTTTTAAAATTTTAAAAAAGCATAAAAAAAACATATATGTATCCAATTTGTGTTAAAAGACAAAAATTAGAAATTAAATCACAACAAATGAATTAAAATAATAGAAAAAATCATTCTATTATTAATAAATTATAAATTGAAATTAGTTTTTATAAACAACATCTTTATTTTAAAACTCAACAACAAAAATTTTATAAAAATTTACTTGAATTAACAACAACTACATCTTGTGTTATAGTTATGGACTTTAAAGAAAATTTTAAAATTGGTGGTGACCCAATAGAAACAAGAAAAGATTTTTATAAAAAAATACAAATTTTACTTTTGGGATTTGTTATTTTTTATAAAAATAGTAATAATAATATTAAAATACAATATATTGATTATTTTTAAAAATTTTAAATCATGATTCTTTATTTGTGACTAATTGTATTAAAAAATTTCTTTCTAATACTTTTATGTTACAATTTAATGAAATTTGTTTTTGGTCTAATTGTGAACCATATTTTCGCTCTGCTGAATTAATGCATTTTATTTTTATTTATTTATCTTCTATTTATAATAAAAAATTTTTTTACTGTTAAGTGAGGCATTTCTCACAATCTTTATTAATAAAGTAAAGTTGTTACATAATTAATATTGAGATGTTGAGATACATTGCTATACATGTCAGCCTA